GATTACTGGCATGTGCCACTGTACCCGGCTAATGTTTGCCTCTTGATTGCATTCTTCAGGAATTAAAAAGTAACCAACTTATATGTCCCTCCTTTTCCCATAACTGACCAACGAATTTCCCATCCTCATATTTTTAGAGAAATGAAGTAACATGCCACTGTAGACTGAAATTATAACTTTCTTTCATCACAACTAGAAAACTTGGGAAAGAAATCAATTTGGGAGAAATTGAAGAAAAGGACATTTCATATGCATGCATTTTCTCCTTCCTTCAAATAGAACTAGTTCTATGAAAAGTAAGATCTCAATTTGATTGAGAGTTTATTGTTACAGCTGACTTCTCATCTAAGCTTACTGTGTTTATTAGGAGTTCATTGTTGTTGGGCATGGTGGTGCACACCCGAAATCCCGGAGACTTGGGGTGTCTGAGGAAGGAGGAAGGCAATTTCAATGCCAGCCTCAGTAATTTAGTGAGGCCCGAAGCAACATAGCAAGACCTTGTCTCAAAATAAAAAATTAAAAGGGCCAGGGAAGTCATGCCCATGGGTCCAATCCCAGTACTAAAACCAAACACAAACAACTGTGTAATAAGGGAGGAGCTTATAAGTTCTCCTCAAATGATTGCTACAGGGCTCACTGTTCCAGGGCAGGAGATAATTTTCACCTTTTGAAACTTGTATGAGCTGGGCGTTGTAATATAATTCTAGTACTCAGGAGGCTGAGGCAGGAGGATCACAAATTTGAGGCCAGCTTCAGTATGGTGAGACCCCAATTGAAAGCAAAAAATACAAAGGTCTAGGGATGTAACTCAGTGGTAGAGCAACCCTGGGTTCAATCTCCAGTACCAAAAAAAAAAAAAAAAAAAAAAAAGAGGGGGAGCAAAGAAGGTAGTAGCTTGTAGTGGTGGAGAGCACTTGTCTAGCATGTACAGTCCCTGGTTTCAATCTCTAGCACTGCCAAAAAACAAAAACAAGGAAGAAAGAAAGAAAGATGAAAGAGTTCCTTGTTGATGTTTGCAACAATATAATTTTGTTTAGCTCAGTACCTGTGCTGCAGCCCTGGATCTTCCAACTGTGCAGAAATGTTTGCAAATTAATCCTCTTTATTTGTCCATAAATTATTTGAACTTCAAAGTCTCAGAGTCCCAAGATGGGAAACAGGACATTGTGTTCCAGAGTGGAATGCTATCTTCCATCATACTAAAAGGAAGACATGGGACGGTGACTAAATTATTGTGTATGCACTATGTGGCCGATTCCAGGCCCTTCCCCCACACACAAAAAAATGCTGTTTCCTAATTCTGTTACATGGTTACAACCTCTCAAGGTGCAGCATTCTAAGCTTGGGCTTTGGGTTGTGCCCCTGGGTTTATATTCTGGCTTTATTACTGTTAAGCTCTTGGGCAAGTTTCTTGAGTTTCCAAACTTCCCTTTGCTCAGTGGTAAAATGAAGATTCTTCCTGGTAAGGCTTACACCACATGATTGTGGTGACTACATCCAATAACACATGTAATCCCAGCAGCTCAGGAGGATGAGCCGGGAGGATCGCAGGTTCAAAGCCAGCCTCAGCACTTAGCGAGACCCTAAGCAACTCAGTGAGACCCTGTCTCAAAATAAAATACAAAATAGGGCTGGGGATGGGGCTCAGGGGCACTTAACATCTGAGCCCCGTCCCCAGCCTCTTTTTCTATTTTATTTAGAGACAGGGTCTCACTGAGTTGCTTAGGGTCTCGCTAAGTGCTGAGGCGGGCTTTGAACTTTCGATCCTCCTGCCACAGTCTCCCAAGTCACTGGGATTACAAGTGTGTGCCACTGTGCCCGGGCAAGATGAGATTTCAAGGTTGGATAGAAGACACATACATGATTGTCTTGCAGTTGCTTCTGCTCTGGGACACAGGAATGAGTGTAGGTGAAACACAGTAGACAGGAAGTGTCAGAAGGAACACCCTAAGCTTCTAGAACCTGGAAATGGGCTGTTTTGAAGGTTCCAATTATTTCTCTAATTTTCCTTGATTATAATATGTCTCTCTTCCCCTTCCCATCCTGCAGTCTGTCCCCTCAGACATTTCTTTTCCACATTTGAAACTTGAAGCATAAGCTGTGGGTATTTCTCAGTGGAAGGGGGCTTGCCTAGTATGTGCAAAGCCGTGGGCTTGATCCCCAGCACTGCAAAAGAAATAAATTAATTTAAAAATATAATTAGAAGTATGCTAAGTTCTAAATCCTGTTCCCTCCTCAGCTGCTGCAAGGAGTCGTGGATGGTAGATGTTGCTGTAGCAGGTGGAGTCACAAGCCACCTGGTTGTGTTCATCACCAAGACTGCCTAGGTGGGGGTGAGAGTCATGTGGAACTCACAATTTTAGGTAGGTAGGAGATTTTTGCAATTGATGGGATGTAGTTGGAATATAGAATAGTAAGACAGGGAAACACAAAAGGTCCAGCTTACTAGTGATTTGTACAGGAATCTGAGACTCCTCTCTAAATGTGGTATGCACGATGTATTTTGTGTGTGTGTGTGTGTGTGTGTGTGTGTGTGTGTGTGGTAGAATTCATTTGAGCAACATGTGAGCAGTGAGTTACATCAGTAAGCCAAACTCTGCCAAGTTCCCTGCCCTCATGGAGTGCATGCTCCACAGAGATGCGTCCCAGGCTCTAAATGGGCCTATGACACAAAATGCTCAGGAATCAAGATACTGAACCTGTGGTCCTCCATATTGTATAGCAGCACCACTTAAAAATCTAGATGGTAGGTTCCATCCTTGAGTTTTCAATTGCTGGATTTTACCTTTGACGGCCCTCCTCATTTGATCCAGTCAGGGTTGAGCCCAATAGATGGATATAGACAACAGACAATAAGGCCAGGCAGGGTTCATGCCTTTAATTCCATTTATTCCAGAGGCTGGGGAAGAAGGATCGCAAGTTCAAGGCTAGCCTCCACAACTTCGTGAGACCCAGTCTCAAAATAAGAAATAAAAAGGGCTGGGGTTGTGGCTCAGTGGTAAGTGCCCTCGGATTCAATTCCCAGTGCAAATCAATCAGTCAATCAAATAAAAATAATAAAATAAAAATAAATGTATGGTTATATTTTTTAAATTCTAGAAAGGAAAAGATGAATTATTGTCACCATCTACCGCGAAAACGTCCTATTTCTCTTCCCCAATGTTACTGGTACTATGAGTTTCTGTAGTTATATGCCACTTTGTAAGTGTTCACTTTGCAAGTGCTCTCCCAAGAACTCTGTCATTTATGGCCCTCGGGAAGTGAAGGCTCCGAGAGGTCACGGAACTAGTTCAAAGTCGCGATCGCCAGAGCCCAGCCCTCCACCCCATCACACCGCTGTGGCATCCCACTCTCCGCAGGTGGAGGGGACAGCCGACTTGGTGTGGAGTTGGTCTTCCTGTCCCCAGCCAGGCGGGCACAGGCGCTCTCCACCCCGCCTGTGGGCGGCGCTGGCGCCCTAGGGACCCCGGGGCCGCGGATTCCGAGAGGTGGCCGCCGCGCCCACACCCCTGCGGGCGCTAGGACGCGGGCGCACGTCCCATACCCGTGGGGATCTTTATTCGCTGTCCCTTAAGTTCGAAGGCTTTCGGGCTCCACCAGGAACTTGAGCCCGGGGCAGAGAACCGGCGGCCGCAGTCTTTGCAGGAAGGACAGTGGAAAAGCTAGATGGGTACCTTAGGTCGAAGACCACGCTGGCCTTTGGCTTCTCTCCCCCTCTTAGTTTGCCCAGGTCCTAAAAAGTTGGCCCAAAGTTTAAGGATGAGGGTGTTTGTGCGTGTGGGCGCCTTTGAAGCGCACCGGGATCTCAGTTGGGAGGTTCTGGGGAACCCACCGTCCCCCTTCCCAGGGTCGCAGGACACCCGCCCAGATCCGGCGCCTGGACCCCGTGCCCAGTGGGCGCAGGGGAGGCGGGGAGCAGCGCGCCTCCAAATCGGTCCCAGGTTTTAGAGGGAAATGTGGCGGAGGCGGTGGACAAGCCGGGCTGGTGACCGACAGCGTGGCCAGCCACTGGCCGAGGGCGTCCAGGAGGCTTGGGGCTGGCGCGAGGGCGTGCTTGTGTGCGTGAGTGTGCGCCAGGGAGAGTGTGCGAGCCTCCCCAACCCCCACCTGTCCCCAAAGACACACCGCCTGGGTCCGCGAGTTGGGGTAAAACACTGCGCGCCTCCCTCTTCCCCAAAGCCACTTGCCCAGTCGATTGGTTTGCCAGAAAAGGAGGAGGAAATAGAGGGGTGTCGGAAAAAGGGGCCAAGCGGGCTTCTCATGGGGGTCGGTCTTAGGACCCAACGGGAAGCACGTAGGAATCTCTGGCTGCGGGGTGGAGGGGCGGGGCCGGCGGGCCGGCAGGCGGCCGCGGGGCGCATGCGCGCGCGTCTCCTCTCGCCGGGCCGCCGAGCTCCGCGGCGCGGAATAGAATGAACTGTAACAAAACAAGTCGAGCCTTTGTATCTGCTTAAAGGGGCCGCGGGCACTTCCCTCCGGTCCCCTCCACCCCCGCCCCGCAGCCGCGTCTCCAGGGCTCCCAGCAACTGGCTGGAAGGGCTTCCCTCGTCCTCTGGAACAGCCCGCCAGCGAGGAGTGGAGAGCCGGGCGGGAAGCAAAGAGGAGGCGCCGCGTTTTCTAAAAAGGCAAGAAAGAAAGGAAGAGRGGAAGGAAAAAAAAAAAAATCCTCGGAGAGGCGCAGAGTGGACTCTGGCCCGGGAGAGCGCGATCGGGCGCCGGAACGTGGACCGAGAGGCACCGGAATGCAAACAAAGCTCGCGGGCGCCTGTGCAGGGCTCGCGGAGGAGCCCAGAAAGTTTGTTTTATGATGATGGCTTGAGTGCGCGAGGGTGTGCAGGGGAGCGAGGCTGCCCAGGGGCTCTCCCGCGGAGTGATTTGGGGGAGAGCTGTTTCTCCTATGAACCCGAGGAGACTTGGGGGCTTGTGCTGTGGGGGGCACCTGTCTCATTTTTACTCTTATTATTTTCTGTTTTTTGGAGGAGGAGGGGTTTCAACTCATCATGTCGAAAGTGATCCAGAAAAAGAACCACTGGACTAGCAGGGTTCACGAATGCACCGTGAAGCGGGGACCTCAGGGCGAGCTGGGGGTGACGGTGCTGGGGGGCGCGGAGAACGGGGAGTTTCCATATGTTGGAGCGGTGGCGGCCACCGAGGTGGCGGGGCTCCCCGGCGGTGGCGAGGGCCCGAAGCTGAGCGAAGGAGAGCTGCTTCTGGAGGTGCAGGGGATCCGGGTGTCCGGTCTGCCCCGCTATGACGTGCTGGGGGTCATCGACAGTTGCCAGGAGGCCGTCACCTTCAAAGCCGTCAGACCAGGTAAGACGGGGCGTGCCCTTGTGKGGGGGGGCGCACCCCAGAGAAGAGGGGAGGCTTGTGGGGTGCCCCCACCACCCCGACTTCCCGCTTTCCTTCTCGGGAGCGCAGCAGAGAGAAGTTGAGGCCGTGCGCCCCCGTGGTGGCGATAGCTAAAGTTCTTGCCTGGTTGTGGGTCGTTTGCCCACCTGCGTTTGGGTACGGGCTGCATTTGCGCAAGGGAGCGGGGAGATGTTTCCCGGGCCCGATTGGTCAACCTGTTATCTCAGCCAGCTTCGACTGAGCCTGAAGGGGACTTGGGGAACTGAGTCAGGGGCAGTGGTGGACGCGTCCCCGGCTTCTTGGGGGGGGGGGAGTGATGCGGCGCGAGTAGCTTTTGGCCATTCTTGCTCCACGAAATCAGTTTCTAGACCTGGTGATTGGGTGTCTGGAAGGAGAGGGGCTACGATTTCTTGGATCTCTTCAATCAGAAAACTAGCTTCCTCCTGAATCCCCTCCAGGGGGGCTATTGTGACCTCCGGGAGATTCCTGATTCCCCGGTGCAGAGCCTGCATTCACCCCACAGCTGGATGACGCATGTGTCTCCACCGCGGTGTGGGGGGAGGGGAGGAGGGTTTCGCTCTGAGCGCCAATCTAGTCCAAGTTTACCAAGGCCACCGTCACCGTCCTCATGATTGATGATGATGATCACAGTTGTTCATTGACAGTTGACTAGTGCGAGACTCTCTGTAAAATGCTCGATTTGCACATCTCATTCTAATTCGCAGTTCTAAGATCCACTTTTTTTTTTTTTTAAATAAAACCCCTATTACCAATAAGGAAACCAGGACTGACATTAGTTAGGCGACTTATCCAAGGTCACACAACCATCAGAAGCTGTTCCCTTGTTGACAGAGCTTTAAGCTCGGAGGAGGAGGGAGGGATTGGGGACGGTACTTAGGGGCTGGGGTGTGTGTGTGTGTGTGCTGATTTTGAGGAGGTAAGGAAAGCAAATTCCTCTATCAGAAGTCGGTACAGGAGGAAAGGCCGCTTCAAAAGATGCATTTGCTGCTGGTGGTGGTGGTAGGTCCCTTACATCTCAGAGTGGTCTAGGCAAGGACTGTCCCCTGTTACCCATGTGAGAAGGACTGAAGTCTTGACAGGGAGCCCGGTGCAGCTCAGCACTGTGAGGCAGGTTCTCAATGAAAGCACCAAAGGAGGTGGTGGAGCTGAATGTGGTGAAAAGTTTCCATATGTTTCCATAGGAAGGCCCGCAGCTGCAGGAATGTGTCAAAAGAAAGGAGGGCTGGGCTGAGCTGGTCCTTTCTAGAAACAGGCCTCTTCCAGATGAGGAGGAGGAGGAGGAGGGGATGGGTGGGGGTGTGCTGGTAAGCCTGGCCTTTTGGTAGCTTTGAGGGCTGAATTTAATGGAAAAGTGTCATTTATGTCCTAATCTTCCACCTGGACACCTCCTCCAGGAAGTCCTCCACCATTCTGCAAAGATGAGCAGATATTGTGTGTGTGTGTGTGTGTGTGTGTGTGTGTGTTTTAACTGTGAACCTCGAGTTTGATCCTCATTTCTATACAGGTGGTGGATTCACTGAAGGGAAAAGACCCAACAACTTCATTGACACATCTCTCTTTTTGCCAAGGTCCCCTTGCCTTGCCCCATGATATATTCTTAGGTTCTTATCTGTAAACCAGCTTGTGGGTATTATTACATAAGCTAATGAGGGGTACATGCCCAGGACAGTGCTGATACATAGTAAGTGCTCAATAAAGATTAGCTATTATTTTCRTGTTTGAGTTGAATTTGAGCAGTTATTTATTTATCTATCTGGGAGCCTGGATTATGAATTTAATGCCAGTTAATGGATGAAGATGACCTGAGGGAACTTTAGARAAAATACTGTGTCAGGCATTTTTATGGGAACAGCTGCAGATCTCAGTTCAGGGCCATTTTGGAGTAAGGGCAGAGGATGAATGGGCTGGGGTTCCTGCCCATCCAGTGGTGGTGTATAATGGGTACTGAATTGGGATTCATTTGCAGTGTGCAAGATGCTTGTGGGTGAGCCACACCCTTCCATAAGTAATCAGAGGGTTGGAGGCTTGGGCCCAGGGCTGTCTCATTCATGGAATTTAGGAAAGTTGGGTGAGATTATGGAGAAGGTTTAGGATCAGACACCTCTGGGTTTGAAGGAAACTGCAGTGTTCCCGAGTGTTAATGTCCTTTGCTCTAGACTATTCTTAGTGCACAGGGATGTGGACAGCAGGGGTAATTGTTTGCATGCTTTTGAACCTATTTTTTTTGGGGGGGGGGTGGGTACCAGGGACTGAACTCAGGGGCACTCATCCGCTGAGCCCCATCCCCAGTGCTGTTTTGTATTTTATTTAGAGACAGGGTCTCCCTGAGTTGCTTAGGGCCTCCCTAAATTGCTGAGGCTGGCTTTGAACTCAGGATCCTCCTGCCTCAGCCTCCCCAGCCACTGGGATATGACAGGCGTGAGCCATYGCGCTTGGTTTTTGAACCTATTTGTGTTGATAGAAAAAAGATGCTGACTGTTGAGACTTGAATAGCCTGGGTCCCATGGCAGTGTGACAGCAACTTCTTGTAATAATCACCTGGGCAGAGCCAGCTCATCGGAGGACTTCATCACAGTAAAAGGTGGCCCTGGAAACCATTCCACCCAGCCTCCATTCCCTCCTTCATGGTGAGAATGTGATTTTAATCACATGACAGAGTTCTGCCTCATTTACAGCATCTTCGTCCGAGGAGGGAGGCTCATTCTTGGTACACAGTAAAGCAAAATGTTCCTTCTGTGTGAGTTAGCCTCTCCCAGGGACAGGGGTCACTGTGGGCACTGTCAGTATGGAAATGTCATGGTTGTCTTGTGGGAGAAGATTCTATTTCATGGCAGTTCTCTGGAAAGATGCATGGACCAAAATAGTCCATAGCAAATGGTATTCTACCAAGCAGGACTGGGCTGTGGGGGAAATCAAACTAAATGAACCTTCTGGGCTGGAGTTGTTCATCTTGTGTCAGTCCTTTGTCACAAAATACCTTTAAAAACATATGTGTATATATATATGTGTGTGTGTGTGTGTGTGTTTTATATATATACATGTTGTTTTGAATTTGCATTAAGGTATCATTTTACTATAGTAAGATGCCCAACTTTTTTTTTTTTTTTGTACCAGGGATTGAACCCAGAGGCACTTAACCACTGAGCCCCATCCCCAGCCCTTTATTCTATATTGTATTTAGAGACAGGGTCTCGCTGAGTTGCTTAGGGCCTCTCTAAGTTGCTGAGGCTGGCTTTGAACTCGTGATCCTCCTGGCTCAGCCTCCCAAGCTACTGGGATTTACAGGGGTGTGCCACTATACCTGGCTGCACAGTTTAAAAAAAAATAATCTTTAAAAATTTTTTTGCATGTAGAGCATGCCTGGGCATGAATCTAGCCACAGCCTACTTCTGAACCATACCCCTAGCCCTTTGTGTTTTTTTAATTTTGAGCAGGGGTCTCCCCAAATTGCCCAGGATGGCCTCGAACTTCTGATCCTCCTGTTTCCTCCTTTTAAGTAGGAGGCATGCACCACCACGGTACCAGTGTCTTTTTAAAATTTTAATTAATACATAAAAAATTTTAACGGATACATCAAAAGATCCAAGTTGCATGTATTCATGGTTACTGTAGGACGTTTCATTACATGTGTATATTGTGTAATGTTTAAATCAAGTTTGCACAGATCTTATGTGTCTCATTTGATGAGTTTTGACAAATGTATATGTTCATGTTGTCACCGCTGCAATCAAGATAAAGAACATTTCCATTACCCAAGAAATTTCCCTCCTGTTTATGTCCAGTTAATCCCTTCTACTAAAGACTCTTTGATTTCTTTTATCGTAGATTTCTCTGTTCTTCAATTTTATAAAAAGAGAAGTCATGTCGTGTGCACTCTATTGTGTCTGGCTTTGTTTTGAGGAGAGGAGGGACTGGACTGGGAGTACCAGGGATTGAACTCAGGGGCCCTTCACTACCAAGCCACATCCCTAGCTCTTTTTTATATTTCATTTAGAGAAAGGGTCTCACTAAGTTGCTAAGGCTTAGGGTTGGCTTTGGAGTCTCTATCCTCCTTTCTCAGCCTCCTGAGCCTCTGGGATTGCAGGTGTGTGCCACCATGTCCKGCTCTGTCTGGCTTTTTTTTTTTTTAACCCAACAAAATATTTTGGAGATTTCACATTTTTGTGCATCATTCTTTATTTTTGTTTTTGCAGTGCTGGTAATTGACCCCAGGGGTGCTTTACAACTGACTACATCTCCAGTCCTATTTAAAATTTTTGAAAAATTTTGAGACGGGGTCTTGCGAAGTTGCCTGGGGTTGGCCTTAAACTTGCAATCCTCCTGCCTCAGCCTCCAAAATAACTGGGGTTACAAGTGTGTGCCATGGTGCCTGGCCTTTGATTCTTTTCATTGCTGAGTAGTATTCCATTATACACATTGGCTAGTTTGGGTTCCCCTTTTGCTTTCTGGTGGGCGTTTGTAATGTTGACGGTGTTCAACTGCTAYGAAAGAAGCTGTTGTTAATGTGCCATTAGTTCCAAGCATTTGCCAATCTTTGATCTTGTTTGTCTTTTGAATTTTGGCCTTTCTCCTGTGGATAGGCGGGAACATGTAATTAGGAAAACTTTGGTATAGAATGTAGCTCACCTTTTTTAAGCTCTTACATTAAAATATGTCTGACCAAGGTGTGCTTGGYGTGTGCAAAAGCCCTGTGAAGCCCTCCCATCACCAAATAAGAAAGAAAAAGAAAACAGAATATGTCAAGCGCTCTGCTAAGGTAGTGCTTTATGGTCAGCCTGTCCTTTAATTCACTGAACTGGACTCAAATGTTGGAAACTTGAGTTTCAGAGTGTCTGGGTGAATGTTTCAAGGGTGCTACCATAAGTGGCAGAAAGAGCTGGAATTCAGCTGAGTCTCACCCCAAACTCTTGCTCTTCATTCCTGGGACATTTGGTTCTGGT